GAGAGAGAGAGAGACTTAGCCACTTTCAGCAGACACGAGATTATTAGATTCGCGATGCTGCCTGCACAGATGCTGTAAAGTTACGGGGCACTCTTCGTATCCGCGACGAGAAACAGGGTTGCACATCAAATGACACGGGATATTAATCTTTATACGCGAGTACCTCTGCACCGCGTTTTACCACGATTTATCTTTCAAATGAATCTGTAAAAATGAATAATACGATCAACAAATTTTATGTTAAATGACATATGTTTTATAATGCTATTTGACGAATATTATTATACGTACATTGATTCATAATCATCATATTTTAAAGAAAATTAAAATACACACACACACACACACACACACACATATTATTTTTTTTAATATTTTTTTTAATATAACGATTGCAAAGCAATGTATAACATCCGTCAAATAATATTGTAAAATTTATATTATTCCGCGTGGGTGAGTAAACTTTTTTTTTTCAATAAAATACAAAGAGACGAAATTCAATAATGTCGAGCATTAATCGTGCGATAGTCATCGCGAGTTTTATAAAAAAAATATAATATAATATAATATGCGCAGTAAAAAAATATATTCGTCCTTTCTCTCTTCACTTGACCGCGTCAGTAGTTGTGCATATTTACTTTTCAAACATTAATAGAAAAAAAAACGATAGTCATAGTTTTTTCCAATTATATGATCGCAGATACCACAAGTGAGTTACGCCTCCACCAGCACGGAACTCTCGGACAAAAGCAGATTCGAGTATTTCAGCAGGGTGGTGCCGCCGGATAATTTTCAGGCGCAGGCGATTGTCGAAGTGATTCAGCTGCTCGGATGGAAATATGTTTCCACGGTCGCCGTGGAAGGTGAATATGGCGAAAAGGTGAGTGCTGAATATATAAGAATGTGTTAATCGATGTGTTACATGTCAAATGAAAGTTATTGTATTATTCGTCTCGAAAAGAAAAAAATTGTACAGCAATATTATTATTTGAAACCACCACACAATATTCTCTTCTTGTTATTGTATTTCACGAGAACGTTTGATGAAAAGTGAATATATTTTGATTATATACGTGTGATAAAAACGTTATCACAGCTTTCTCGATGTAAATGTCTTTTACAAGTAAAATCTTTTACAAAGTTTTAAATTAAACTCATAGGCTCGGAATTTTCAGATATTGCGGTGTCATTCTTTAACCATTAACTATGATCTGTCGAACTATTCTTGTGTAACGAATTGTGTGTCAGACGAATAATGTCTGATGTTCGTGATTTATACGGCAAATTGATAAAAAAAACAGACGATCGCATAAATGTGCAAAATTTAATTATATCTTTTCATTAAATTGCATTGCACAATTACGTTGAATAAATAGTTATTATAACAATGGCAATTATGATATGAGATCGTTATGTATGATCGCGTTAATAAGCGAAGATGAAACTAATTGCGCAATCAAGTAAGAAAACTTGATGTTAAAACGCCATTCGCTGCTTAAATTAGGCGATTAGTATGCGACAGGAATTCCGCGCGAAGAGATTACCAGAGCAATCCAATCTTACAAAAATTGCAGACAGCAAAACTTTTTAGTTAGCATTTGCGCTTCTTGAATTCTCGCGCCTTAATTGCAAACTTCTTAAAGAAAATTAGCAAAGATCTATTAAGAAAGAAGATAGAAGGAAAAAATAGAAATGCAAAAGAGTTTTAACCTATTATTTTTCTATTAATAAATTGATGCTCAGAATAGAAACTTATTAAAGGATACTTACGAAAGACCTGGAAAGCGGGGGGGGGGAAGGGAGGATAGAATTTTCTAAGTTTTCTAATAAATAAAAGCGCGAAGATGAAAGGGAAAAAAAGAAATATTTCTTTAACTCGAACAATTTCAAATCCGAAACTTTTATTTAATCAACGAGCACTTTTTAGTAGTGCCACCTTTTTAATTTGACGAATCTGATTAAAATCGCAATTTCTCAGGTTTTGAAATTCCAATATTGTTCTTGTATTACCACCTCATAATGGGCGGATATGTACGAGCAGGTATAATAATTCAACGAGCGCGATAACTCAACCGGCAATAATTTCCCTTACGTTAAGGGAAAACGCCGGGCAAGAATTTTTCATATTCGCCGCAAACATTGATGTACGATTTTTACGGCCCAATTATGCTAGCGAAATGGTCGCCTTCCGACGATTATATCCATGACAACGGCGTATACCGCGTATCTTGGAACGTACAAATTTGGACCGACGTCGTGAATTGTGTCTGGACGCGCCCCAGGAGGACCCCAAGACGGAGTGGTAGTAATCGCATTCCGAGCAATTAAACCAGTGCCAATGATCAGCCTGATTAATCGCTACTAGACATCATAATAATAGTTCGGCTGTTACTCCGCGTGAATTAATTCGCTGCCGATGATGATTTCAAAATATTGCTAACTGTACGATTGATCAATAATCGGGTAAGAATGACCTCACCAACAGGAAACAATTATGATGTATTCGTTCGTGCCTTAACAACAACGTGTATTGTCGCTAAACGAGTACAACGAAAGAAGATAGTTGAAGTTAAAAAAAGATTTTTGCAATATACGAAATATCAGATAAGAGTATAAAAGGAAACTTGAATTTGCAACGCACATGAAACACAACAAATAATTGAAATTGGTGATGATCGGGGTTAGGCGGTTTTTTTTTTGGAAACGAAGTTTAAGAGACATATTATTATAAAGAGAGCTAAGCAATCCGGTCCTACTACGATAGTGGTCGAGAAGATAACGAGGCGCCTACATTTCCTTCTAGTTTTTAATGAAATTTATGAGGCGTTTCTTTCTTTTTAAATGTTCGGATGTACAACGCGGTCGTAGCTGATGCAAATGCGGTGCATATTTCAACGAGCATAAGCTCGCTTAAAGCGATTATACAAATGTGGCTTCGTTAATATCCTTATAATGGCACGAGGTATAAAAGTGTATAAAACGATTTATCGCAAATAAAGGCACGAGAAGTGTACGTACGCAAAGCGATAAAATTTTTTTCGTGACAATCACGTGTCCAATCACTGCCAATTATTTATAAATTTATTTTACGATAAATAATAGGATTGCAAATCATCGCTTGAAAAACTAACCATCGAGGTTTGCTCAAAGAGACAGCTGTAAATGAAGTTTCGTAATTTTAAGCCGTCTGGGACACAAGATCGTCCCCAGACGCAAATACGCATAATGAGGCTCGTAACGGAGAGGTCTAAAAAGAGATCGGAATCACGTAGAAATAAAAAGAAATAAGGTCAGGCGCAACAAATTGTTGAAGAAACTGAGCTTCATTAAGTAAATCGGCCGATAAGATAACATCTTGTCGTAGCAATTCTCATTATTTCCCGGATAACTACAACAGTTATCTTTTTTCTCTTTGTACATCTCTTTTTCTTCAGAATATGCTAAATGAACTGGTTTCGTGTCCATATCGATATTTTAATTTTAGTTTTTTATTCTATTTTTTTTATTTTATCCCGCAATACATGAAATTTCGCATCTACCTCCATATCGAGATTTTAATTTTTTATCATTTAATTTTTCTTCGTTCGATTTCTATTTCTTTTTACTTTTTCTAACTTTTTATCTTTTTTACGCACAGTTACGTTCTCGGCATCATAAAAATTAAGAATTCAGTACAGTAATGATTTAATTTTTTTGATCTTGAATTAAGTTTCTTTAATTAATAACAAGATTAATTAAATCTTTACACTCAAATTTGCAATTACATGTAATTTTATTTTATTGCACACATAAAGATATACGTAAAATAATGTTTTTCTCTAACAAATTAAATTTTATTTATCTCTTAAAAAGATATTTTGAGAAATATTTTGAGAGAACTTTTAAAATTGACCTATTGAAAATAAAATAATTCTTACAAACTTGAAAAACTATGCTAATGCTTTTTATGAAATGCGTAAATGAATAACGGAACAATTATTATTGTACAATTTGGAAAGAACTTTAATATTACTCGTAACCTTTTATTCCACAGCGGGGTGTTAAACAGTTTTACCAATTTTCGCTTTCTTATCTAATCACTCTTACGATAGACTATAAAAGAAAGTCTTAATCCTATAGAAAATTAGTTCTGAGTATTATCAAAGAAATAAGAGCTTTGTTGACTCTACTTATTGCAATGACGTCAAATGGTAATTAGAAAATTCAAAATATGAAAATGATTATAAAAATGATTACGGTTTTTCTAAAATTTCAAGTTATTATCTAATCACTTTTAAATATAATGTTTTATAAAAATTAAGATATTTAGTGTTTTAATAAAATTTAAAAAATTTATGTATTGATTTATGAAAAAGATGGATTTAGAAACTCGAAAATTTAATTAATTAAATTTAAAAAAATATGTGTATTCTTATTAAATCAATATTATAACCTTTATTATTATAAAAATTAAAAAAGTTTAAATATTGAACGTGAAAGAATAAATGGAAATTAAAATTCTCAGAATACTTCATTTGAAAAAGTATAAATGACAAGTAATTCAATTTGGGTAATTAGGATTCATGTAATCAACGTTTTACTGCACTTTTAATTAGGATAATGTGTTTATCACACCGTGTAACAGAAAGGAATCTTTTTTTTCACGAAAAAATCGATATGTTCGTACCAAAGACAGACCAAATACAGTCTAGAAATGCATTCCGCTAGATCAAGTTTATGCTTTTGTGCACATTTGAAGTTTAAAGGAGATCGTTTTAGCCATGATGTAAGCTGAAACTTTGTCCGAAAATCATGTAAAATGAACCGCTTGAATTCGACAATGATAAAATTAAAGCAATTAGAGCAGAGTAAAATGATGAAAAGTGCATTGTTAGTTACAGATTGCTTAAATTTTTCTCTTTCTTTTTTTTTTGATTTTTCTATAATTTTCTTTGTGAATGTTAATGGAAAGAATATGATTCTCGAAATAATGTGTGAATGTTTTGAAGGCACAAATATATAACAAAAATTATCATAATTTGGACACTGAACTTTCTTTATGTTTATATTTTACTTTACTTCACCGATCTTTTTTGTTTTTATTTTACGTGTTGAATGTAAATTGAGCAGGCTGTCAAACTGCAAAATACCAAACTGCTCTTAAAATGTTACAGTGCACTCATGTTACATAATGGTTCATCCACAAAGGAGAAATCGTAGAAAGGCCGGAAAAAGGAAAAATTTAAATGATTTTCGACTAAAAAATTTTTTTGCTCTGCCGTAATCGCTTCGTAATTTTATTGATTTCACATTCAGCGAATTTTATATGCAAATGTATAATTTTCAGACAATTGCAAAATTTTATTCTGTACCGCGACTAAAATGATATATGCTTTAAACTTTAAACGTTTACATAAAACCGCAAATAACTTGCGAAACGGAGCATACTTGTATATTAGATTTCGTCTTTACTTTCACAGAAATATCAACTCTTTTATGCATAAAAAAAAAGATTTTTTTTTATTTTTTTATACGATATTATCAACAAATATTAAAGTTTACTCGATTCGAAAATGGAACAGTTAGGAATTATTAATCTACGTAATCGTTATGGCGTGTTTGGATATTACAAGGATACATTTTCATCCGGTATACCGTAATAAATTGTGGCAATTTTTATTGCGCCGTGAAAAAACGCCGATAACACCTGCGGTTGCAGTTCGGTGCATCCCGCATCTTTCTTCGGCCGTCTTTTCTTGTTTCCACCCACATACACCCAATAGAAATATATCACGAAACACGGAAGGTAGTCGCGAAGACAGGCAAACCGCGTCGATATATCTATTTGCGTGTATACCATTTGGCGAGAAATGTGAGAGACAGGCAGTTCATTCTGGTGATCGTCTGGTGACATATCTCGTTTCAACACAATTCTACAACGACACTTCGAATTGTACAATTGGACGAGATCGAGAAGTAAGTCGACAGAATAAATTTATAGTGCCAAGTGCCAAGTGTGAATTAAGCCCTTCGATTCTAACCGATATTAAAAATTTGATAATCTCATATCTAAGATCTATAATTTAATGTTGAACTATTTTAAATATATTTATTAGAACTAATGCTGTAAACTTCTTTAAATCCACGTCGAATCGAATTTCCCTCGAGACTTATGCCCGAGTGATTTGATTGAATATTTTAATTACATAAAAATACGAAGGAATTTTCCGATAAATGTAGATTGCGAAACAAATCCCTTATGTAAAGATATAAAATATTCAATTTTCTGGAGGAGAATGGAAATTTGCTACTACCTTGTATATTCACTTTATACACCACAAACAACAGCCTGCTACTTATAGTCGCGATGTCACATGCACATCTTGAAAATTTATCGTCAGCGATAAATGAGTATGTAGGATATGAACGAGCGGATGTGTCCGAAGTGCATTGATATTTTACGATATATTCCAATTGTTTACCAAGAAAACAGACTCGCGTGTTATCGCCAAAACTCATCCGATCTCTCGTCGGACGGGCAATTTATTTGCGGCTGAAATTCTATTTTCAGGGCATCGCCAGTTTCATTGCCCTCTCGGCGAGATACAACATCTGTGTCGCTATCAGCGAGAAGATTCTGAGGAACGCGAGGACCGAGGACTTTGATAAAATAATCGAACGACTGAGCTCGAAGCACAGCGCCAGAGGAGTCATAATATTTGTCGACGAGGATAACATAAGGTAGAATTAAGCCTCAGTCGCATGCCTTCGTTGCATTTAAATAAGCGCGATATATGAAGTAGTAGTATACGATACGGAGGAAATATTGCAAAAAGCGTGATTGTTGAAATCTGTCCAGCATGAAAAATGCAGGTATGCTTGCTTTATTTATTTTCTTTCTCTGCACACACAGCAGAAAAATAGAATTACTGGACTGCGAGAGAAATGTTTTTTTATTCTTTCTACCACGCTCCCACGTTCTGTATGGATTTGGACGAGATGTTCTCAAACACGGAAACGAATTATAGTTTTTTTATGTAACTTATTTAGATTATATGATACTCCTGCAATGCTCGTCGAACCGAGAGAGAATACATCTGCTACAAACATACGCACGCACGCACGCACGCACGCACGCACGCACGCCCGCCCGCCCGCACGCACGCACGCACGCACGCACGCACGCACACAG